AAAGGAAAGGAGGTTTCAAACTTCCTTTATAACCTCCTTTAGCCTAGGAACCACTGGACCTCCCTAACCGAAAGGAGAGGAGAAAATGCTGCCCCACAATGCCTTGCGGCCGCAGCATTTGCCGTCACACAACAGTCGGCCGTTCACGGAAACAACCGATTATGAACGAGAAATGATATCATGAAAGTTACGGTGCTTATTAAGCATTTTAAAACGTATGTGGTAAGTTGCCAAAGTGCTTTGTTTTGAACGTCCATCAGTATTATAATCAAAAAGAGAAATATGAACGTTAGTTTTTACTGAAATGATCAAATAAAGTCAACATTTCACAGTCTTTACTGAGCTGTGTGGGGTTTGTTCAACTTTTAAAAGATGTTTGAATGGTGATATACACAGTGATAGATGTTAAGGACTAACGTTTATAATAAATACATTTGTATAGATTTTAAGATCTTTTCATACAATCATATGTATTGGGATCATTTGTATTAATGTGGACCGGAGGGAGAGGGTGACGAGCATAAGTTTCACTTTCCTTTTTTATTTCAATTTCAACTTTGGTCATGAAGAATATGTTTCTCTGTTGTCCCCGTTCATAAAGCATAAAACAACAGCATCAGAGCATGGTGCAGAGTCTCTAGATGAGTTTACAGTAGTCCCTCGTTCTTATTAAACATCCATGTTGTAGTCCGCTGTATAGAAAACTGTAGTTTCCATAGTTTCCCCACAGCAGCAGGCGCACATTTATGACCTCTGCTGGCGCATCATAAACACGTCGGATAGTGAAAGTGCAGTCGGATTCTCTAAAGTGCTGCAGTCTCTTCTCCTAAATCCTTTTGAATTCTCCTATCCACTATCCCTTAACCCCATGACGTTTCACTCCGAGGTCAAGGAATAGACGATAGGGTTAGAACTTAGGAGCTGTTTTTTTGGAGTATTCGAACGCAACCCTGGTCTCCCAGCTGTGTGCGTCACTCTTTAGTGTCCCCTGGTCTCCCAGCTGTGTGCGTCACTCTTTAGTGTCACTCTTTAGCTGAAAAAAACAGCTATAGACCAGCTTAAGATGGTTGCTGGTTTTAGCTGGTTTTAGCTGGTGTTAGGCTGGTGTAGTTGGTTTACCAGGCTGGACAAGCTGTTCTGGCTGGTTCAAGACCAGCCTGGTCAGCTAAACCAGCATAGACCAGCATGGATGTCATGCTGGTCTATGCTGGTTTTAGCTGGTAGTTAAACTGGATGCTGGTGAAGCTGGTATTTATGCTGGTCTACCAGCAGTCTTGCTGGCTAAACTGAAACAGACACAGACAGACAGAGAGGGCGGGGGACGGCGAGGCGGCAGTGGTTGAAACAAAGCGGTATGTTTTGACTGGCACTAACGGCACAACGGTCAAGGAGTGAAGAAGATCAGTTGAGCGTTTCTGTGACTCCGCCCAGCGGCTGCTCTTCTGAGAGGCACCGCTCTGACAGCTCTGTCTACTGGGAAACGCGCTAAAAGTCCTTCTGGAGGTAAGCAACACTACACAATTTCACCAAGTCTGAGAGTAAAAGCTTTCTCAAAGGTTCGTTTTGCTTTCTTACAACGTTACGTTAATGTTAACTTAATATTACGTTTGCTAGGAGGCTAGCTGTCTTAGCTATCAACAGTTAGCAGCTAACGTTTTCTGCAGTTTGTGTTTCCCCTGAAAAAGGTGATGTAGTTATTTAAGGGTAAGTTAACTTAACGTTATCTTACAAGTTGAGAGAGTTACGTTTTGTTTAAAATTGTCAATGTAATGCCATTAGAGGTTTTGTGTTGAAAATGAAGTTAGCAAACTGTAGCTCTCTACCAAAGGTTAGCATGTTAAACTGTACTTTGTGTGCGTCACTCTTTAGTTTCCCCTGGTCTCCCAGCTGTGTGCGTCACTCTTTAGTGTCCCCTGGTCTCCCAGCTGTGTGCGTCACTCTTTAGTGTCCCCTGGTCTCCCAGCTGTGTGCGTCACTCTTTAGTGTCCCCTGGTCTCCCAGCTGTGTGCGTCACTCTTTAATGTCCCCTGGTCTCCCAGCTGTGTGCGTCACTCTTTAGTGTCCCCTGGTCTCCCAGCTGTGTGCGTCACTCTTTAGTGTCCCCTGGTCTCCCAGCTGTGTGCGTCACTCTTTAGTGTCCCCTGGTCTCCCAGCTGTGTGCGTCACTCTTTAGTGTCCCCTGGTCTCCGTTGTGTTTTGAGCTTTTTGCAGCGTTTCCTTTATGCAGCTTTTAGTAAACACTGCTCAAGTTGGTGATCATGTTTCTTCATTTCTTTGCACATGTTTTGGCACATTTGTGTTTTTATATTTGCATCGTTTCTGAAACTGCAGAGCGTTCCTCCTGATGGAAATGTTTTGGGCCGTAGTAGCGCGTTCGCTCCCGTCGGCCACCGTACTTTAAGCTTCTATTGTGACAATAAACTTGATCTAACTTGAGATTAAAAATGCAGCAGAAGCACCGGTTAAAACAGAGAAATGGGAGGAAACACCACACACACACACACACACACACACACACACACACACACACACACACACACACACACACACACACACACACACACACAGTATAAGTAACATTATATAAACGGATTAGTTTACAGTTGTGGCTTCGTGGGAAATCATTCCCTCTGGACCCCCGACGGTGTGGCACATTTATTTTTATGCTGCTCAATAAAAATATGAAAGCCGAACGAGAGGAAATTAATGCAGATTTTTTTGTGATTTTCAATCAGAAATATAAAAATGGTGATTGTCCCCAAACATGGCTGCAGAGTCATGGATGGAAAATTCATTTTTGGTGTTAATTAGACGACGAATTCTGATTAATAAAGGGTTGTTTTTCAGTCTACAGCATCCTATTTAGGTTTTACAAGCTGCCAATGTAGCACAACTACCACGGGAATATAAAATAAATGAGAATTTTTCAAAACATCCATGGTGGTTATTCAAATATCAGCGTAAAGTGACAATTATGCGACTAAAATCAATGTGACTCAATGCACTGCCACTTTGATCATTCAGAGGGACTTTCCTATAAAACCACTTGTATAAAAGTTCAAATATTATTAAATATGAAATGTTATTATCATCACTCTATATGATAAAAGGACCATGCAGTTTGACTTCACAGGAGTTGTGTACACATATCTTAAAATACGATAGAAACTTGTTATTAGAACTCTTTTATGTGTAATTTCTCATCATTTTTCTTAAAAAGTTCAGGTAACACTTTAGATTAAGGTACACATATTCACCATCAACTAGTTGTTCATTTACATACTAGAGTCAAACTACTAGCTTATTGGTTATGAACAAGACTTCACTTTAAAATAGGGAACTTATTCTGAGTTAGAAAAACCTCATTTTGAGTTATTTTGACACAATTAACACTTGTAGTTTCATGTCTTGTTACATAAGAATAGACCATATTTGTTAGGTGTTATTATGAGAGTTATTAGGCCCATATTGAGCATATTAAGACCCTAACTCATGCACAACAACGTCCTTACTTACAATAAATAAGCTCTCATTAGAGGGTTATTGAGGACAAACTTAACTAATGGCTTAGTACTTGTAGAATAAGGTCTTGTAGAATAAGGAATTAATTTGTGGTGTTATTTTACAGTCGGTGGTCACTACCGCCATCTTGTGGTTATGGTGGGTACAACACAAAGCTGAGTATTCATTCATTTTCTACTATCAGAGGTAGAAGAAGTACTCAGATCTTGTAGTAAAAGTAGATGTACTCATAACTTGTACTTGAGTAAAAGTAGAAGTACACAGATATTGTACTTGAGTAAAAGTTTAAGTACTCAGATATTGTACTTGAGTAAAGTAGAAGTACACAGATCTTGGACTTGAGTAAAGTAGAAGTACACAGATCTTGTACTTGAGTAAAGTAGAAGTACTCAGATCTTGTACTTGAGTAAAGTAGAAGTACTCAGATCTTGTACTTGAGTAAAAGTAGAAGTACCAGAGTGTAGGAATACTCGGTTACAAGTAAAAGTAAAAGTATTAGCATCAAAATATAGTTAAAGTACCACAAGTAAAAGTATTCATTGTGCAGATTGGTCCATTTCAGAATAATATATATGATATGTTTTATAATGATTGATCATTAAAGTGTTATCAAACCTGGTAAAGGTGCAGCTAGTTTGAATGACTTTGTATACTACATATACTATGTTTAAAATATTTTTAAAAGATCGGAGAGCCAGCCTCTCGTCCAACATCAGTGTGTGACCTCACTAATGCTCTTCTGGATGAAAGGGCTTCCCACAGACACACTCCAAGATCTGTAGAAAGCCTTCCCAGAAGAGTGGAAGCTGTTATAGCTGCAAAGGGGGACCAACTTCAAATGAATGCCTAAGAGTTTGGAATGGGATGTCCTGAAAGCTCCTGGAGGTGTAATCAGAATCAGAATCAGAATCAGAATCAGAATCAGAATCAGAATCCCTTTATTAGTCCCACAGAGGATACATGTACATTGTTACAGCAGAAAGAGCCAGAGACAGCTTCATGTTTCCTAAAGCATGCATACAACAAAGTATTACAAATTAAAAAAAGAAATGATAATAGGTGTTATAGTCTGTGTTGTTGTGTGGGGGGTCTACTAGGGGTCGTCGTGGTTATATAGTCTGACCGCTGCAGGAAGGAAGGACCTGCGGTATCTCTCTAATGTGTAGGTGGTCCAATACTTTTGTCTATATTGTGTATAATTGAGTATCATCCGCATAACAATGAAAATGTCCCGAGTGATTCCTTATTGCCTAAAGGAAGCGTATATAATGTGAACACAATAGGTCCAAGCTCTGAGCCCTTATGCTTTGCTCTGGCAGAACTGGCTGGATCAAATCAAACAGAACTCTAAACACATTTTCAGCTCTGCACACAATCTGCAATTCAACTCTGCACTTTCTAAAACACTGCACACGGTTCTCTGAGTAACACACAGAGATCTGACATATTCACCTGTCAGCCATTTTCAACACACTGCCATTAAACATGCTACACATATGAGCCAATGAACAGATACACATGCCAGCTGACCGTTAACGCCTGGCTGCTTTACTGCTGACTCATCAATCAGGATATAAGTACAAGAAGTGGGATATTTATTTTAAAAATCTGTTTTTTTATCACAGAGCTGAGAAAATAATATTTATTATAAAAATATCAAATATCCTGTTTATGAAATACACAAGAAAATAATTGTTTTATATATTTCTCAAATGACCTGCTTTGACTGCAGCTTGAGAAACTTCTGGATTCAGTCTGAAAGCATCCTTTTTTAACTTTAAACATGATCTTTAATAATGTTGTAGTTTAGTTTAACTCTGAGAGGTGGACTGGCTGGACTCCTCACTGGGACTCTGGTTCTGGACCAGCTTGCAGGGTCCAGGCGTTCTTGGAGAGAAGGAGCGCTTCCTGCCGCAGGACTCGGGGGATGGGAGTTCCTGAACATGGAGAAACAGCTTCAGTTATTATGCTCCAAATATCTGGAACAAAGTCACAGAAAGAATGTGTCTGCAGCTCAGAGAGTCCTGCTGGGAACCCACACATGTTGAGGAGCCCAAAGTGTGATGAGAGAAATGTACAGTACGGGTCCCCAGCACATAGAAGCTGCCGGATGCTAACCTGCATATGTTGGGAGAGCTTTACAGACCAGGAGAGGAACTAAGTACATTTACTCAAGGACTGTACTTTTACATTACATGTCACTTGTTAGACGCTTTTATCCAAAGCGAATAACATACTCAATACTGTGGACAATCCCCACAGGAGCCATTTGGGGTGAAGTGTCTCAGGGACACAACGACATGCTGACTGCAGTGGGGTTTGAACCTGTGCTCCCTTGATCCGAACACCAACGCTCTATCCACTGCGCCACACTCCTCCACACTTAAGTACAATGTTGAGGTACTTGTACCTTTCCTGAGTATTTCCATTTTATGCTACTTTGTACTTCTACTCCACTACAGTTCAGAGGTACATGGTGTACTTTTACTCCACTACATGTATTTAATACCTGATATGATCAATAATTATAAAACTTATCTTAAACTTATATTATTCTGAAATGGACCAATCTGCACAATGACTACTTTTGGTACTTTAACTATATTTTGATGCTAATACTTTTCTACTTGTATTGAGTAACATTTGAATGCAGGCCTTTTACTGTAACAGAGTATTCCTACACTCTGGTACTTCTACTTGTACTCAAGTACAAGATCTGAGTACTTCTACTTTTACTCAAGTACAAGATCTGAGTACTTCTACTTTTACTCACGCGTCACTGTTTTGATAGACAGTTGTTGTGAAGAGAAACAGCCAAAATGATGAAGAGAGAGAAACAAGAGTGTTGTTTTCCTCTGAGGACATGCTCCATGAAAGAGTTTCATATCTTGATGAATGGAGGATATTCAGTACTCACAGTTCTTCTGGATCTTGGCTCTGATCGTCTCATCATCTCTGATCCTGTAGGGATGAACACAATCCAGCAGTTATGGATCCAGTTTAAAATAAGTGTTTGTTCTTTGAGTCAGCTTCAGAGTCCTGACTGATCTCATGCTTTACATCCCATCATATCTTCTCTGCAAACACTACGACTGACTGCCACAGCTCTCAGCTGCATTACAGGAAGTAACAGTCATTAGTCAAGGAGCTAAAAACATCCCATCAAAAACAGACTACCTTTTCCACTCTTCTGTCAAATCCCATATGTCTGGTGGAAAGTTGATTACTTACTAAATGTGGCTTTGCATTTTCAGCTGGCCTTCTATAGTTGATGGAAGAATGAAAGAGCCTGCAGTCAGTGGGTAACATCACTGATCTGTTGTGATTCCCCAGTGAGAGAAACACCTCCCTGTGTTTCATACAATACTGCTGAACCAGCAGAGACCCCTTACTGACCTGAGGGTCTCCAGTCTGCAGTCTGGACTCTCCAGAAGATCTCTCAGCAGCTTCTCATCTGAATCCTGCAGAGCGTTGAGACTCAGGTCCAGCTCTCTCAGATGGATGTTGGACTTCAGAGCTGAAGCCAGAGCAGAACAGCTGATCTCTGACAAACTGCAGTCCCTCAGTCTGAATAAAGAAAACATGATGTAAGTTTAGAAAACAATGTTCCTGTTTGAAATAACTCCAGGTTTAATAATCTGTTCAGAGTGAAACAGGGTTTTAATGTCAGAGATGATGCAGAAACAATCCACTGATAATCTGGGACTTTAACTTTGATCAGATGTTGAACAACTCCTTCATCTCCCTCACAGCTCATCAGTACTGACAGCATCTCCACTGACTCCTGGAGCACAGAGTGAGTCTGTGGAAGCTCAAACTCTCTCCCTCACACATTCACCTTCTCTTTGTTACTCTGATCAATATTCAGTCATTAGCAAAAACGGAAAGAATAAAAATAACATTGTATTTGTTCAAATTCAGAAAATCATAAACACAAACAGATCAATATGAAGTGCAGTCAGTGAACTGACCTGAGAGCCTCCAGTCTGCAGTTTGGACTCTCTAGTCCAGAACTCAGACGCTCCACTCCTGAATCCTTCAGAGTGATCTGACTCAGGTCCAGATCTCTCAGATGAGAGGGGTCAGACTTCAGAGCTGAGGCCACGACTTCACATTGAGGCTCTAAGAGTGCACAGGCAATAAGTCTATAATAAAACATATATTACAACATGTGTTAAAAAAGATGAAACATTATATTAACATCAAGCATTTGATGAAAAAAGATTTGACATGTTCTGATAGACATTTGCTGTTAGTCCATTTAATATAATATATAATAATATATGATAATAGAGTGTAATGAGTTGTCAGTGTGATCTGATCACATGTCTGTGCTCCTGCTGTCACTGACTGTTACCAAAAGAAACAGAAATTAAATTAATCACTTGACAATATTAGAGATGTACATATTTAAATGTTAGTTAATATGTGGATGTGAATGATGGATGAAGGATGCTTTGGCTTCTCTGAGCATCTGAACATTTATTGCGCACACAAACACAATTAACAAACCAATAAAGTTTCAATATGTTCAACTTGATAGCATCAGATGTTCCCAGTATATCAGCATTAAGACATAACTCTGTTATTGGTAGGAAATGATATAGATCTGATTTTAAACTCTAACACATTGTGATCAAAACGTGTTTAATGATAAAGAAACTACTAGAAAGTAATCATTAAAAAAAAAAGCAAAGAAAGTAATAATAACATGTTTCTGTGATAACTGTAAGTCCTGCTGTGTGGTGTGATCACATGCTGAGAAACCTCTAAAGTCCTTCATGTGTTTGACATGTCGCCTCCATCACTCAATATGAAGAGAGGAACGCTTCAGTTTAACTATTATTATAAATAAATAGAAGAACAGTGTTGGTTTATGTTCTCAGTATTTAAACAGCAGAAATGTTATAGTGTTTATTTCAATAATTAAACTCCTGATCCACATTAGTTTATAAAGTTAATCAGATCTGGACTTACTTGGCCTTCCTGCAGTTCCTCACAGCTGGAATCAGTCTCCGTCGTCCCTCCCATGATGTGTTGTACTGATTCAGGTCCAACTCATCCAGAACCTCCTCTGACATCTGCAGCATGTAGGCCAGAGCAGAGCAGTGGATCAAAGAGAGTTTCTTCTCTGATCTGTTCTCTGACTTCAGGAACTCTGTGATCTCCTGATGTACTGAGTGGTCCTTCATCTCTGTCAGACAGTGGAAGATGTTGATGCTCCTGTCAGGAGAGATGTCATCACCTCTCATCTCCTTCAGGTTGCTGATGGCTCTCTGGATGGTTTCTGGTCTGTTGTCTGTGCGACCCAGCAGGCCTCCTAACAGTCTCTGGTTGGACTCCAGAGAGAGGCCGTGGAGAAAGCGGACAAACAGGTCCAGGTGGCCATTTTTACTTCTGAGGGATTTCTTCATGGCTCCCTTCAGGAAGTCATTGAGGGATGGGTAATCCTGATCTCTGCTGTTGTTATAGTCTCCCTGCAGGAAGTCCTGCAGTACCTTTGTCTTCCCGTTGGTGTAACAGTGCAACATGTAGACTGCAGCCAGAAACTCCTGAATGCTCAGATGAACAAAGCAGTAGACTGTTTTCCTGAAGATCACTCTCTCTCTTTTGAAGATCTGTGTACAAACTCCTGAGTGCACCAAGGCCTCGGTGACACCAAGACCACAGCGCTGCAGGTCTTCTTGGTAGAACATGATGTCTCCTTTCTCCAGATGTTCAAACGCCAGCCTCCCCAGCTTCAGAAGAACCTCCCTGTCAGCCTCCGTCAGCTGCTGTGGACTCGTCTCATGTCCCTCTTCATACTTCTGCTTCTTCCTCTTGGTCTGGACCAGCAGGAAGTGTGAGTACATGTCAGTGAGGGTCTGGGGCAGCTCTCCTCTCTGGTCTGTAGTCAACATGTGGTCCAGAACTGCAGCAGTGATCCAGCAGAAGACTGGGATCAGACACATGATGTGGAGGCTCCTGGAGCTCTTGATGTGAGAGATGATTCTGCTGGACAGCTCTTCATCACTCCATCTCCTCCTGAAGTACTCCTCCTTCTGGGCGTCAGTGAAGCCTCGTACTTCTGTTACCCTGTCCACACACTCAGGAGGGATCTGATTGGCCGCTGCAGGTCTGGAAGTTATCCAGACGAGAGCCGAGGGAAGCAGCTTCCCCCTGATGAGGTTTGTCAGCAGCACGTTGACTGAGGACTGCTGAGAGACATCAGACACAACCTCATTGTTTCTGAAGTCCAGAGAAAGTCTGCTTTCATCCAGGCCGTCAAAGATGAGCAGCACTTTGCAGACAGCCAGCTGCTCTGCTGTGACCTTCTGTAAGGTTGGATGGAAAACATGGAGCAGCCTGAGAAGACTGTACTGCTCACCTTTGATCAGGTTCAGCTCCCTGAAGGAGAGCGGGATCACCAGACTGACATCTTGGTTTCCCAAACCCTCTGCCCAGTCCAGAGTGAACTTCTGCACTGAGAAGGTTTTTCCAACTCCAGCGACTCCGTTGGTCAGGACCACTCTGATGAGAGTCTGTTTGTCAGGTGAGGCTTTAAAGATGTCCTGGCACTTGATTGGAGTGTCATGGAGGGGCTTCTTCTTGGAAGCTGTCTCCAGCTGCCTCACCTCATGTTGGGTATTAACCTCTTCACTCTGGCCTTGTGTGATGTAGAGCTCAGTGAAGATCCTGTTGAGGAGGGTTTCACTTTGATCAGTTCCTTCAGTCACACGTTCACATCTCCTCCTCAGACTGAGCCTATGTTCATCTAAAACCTCCTGCAGACCACTATCTGCTGGAAGAGAAGGAAACGTGAGAGAATGAGGGAAATGCTCTGAGAATCTAATTATAACAATAAAACAACAACAAACAGATTAAGTTTAAATGTTTTATAAACAGCTTACTGTCTATGCTCTACAACAGTATACCTGTTCAAAAACAAATGAACCAGGAAGAGGAATAAGACGCTGCGTGTGTTCGGCCTCTTACCTCGTACAGAGCTGGTCTGACTGGCTGTCTGCAGTCCAGCTCTGGTTCTGGATCTCTTTCCACACTGGGGACAGGAGGGGTCTCCTGATGGAGGTCTCTGCTCCCAGTATGAGGTGATGCACTGTCTGCAGAACCAGTGTCCACAGCTGGTAGAGACTGGATCCTTCAGGACGTCCTGACACAGAGCACAGCTGGACAGCTGCTCCTCCACAGGAACACCACTCTTCCTCTTCCCTCTGTGGAGATGAACACATCCTTTACAGCACGTCACATTAGTGGAGCTGATTCTCACCAATGGGCAGAGCGTCACAAACGTCTCTCTCAAGATGAAATGTGTCACGCTGCACGAATACGCAGGTGACATGAATTTCACCTCTTCACTTTCTTGGTGTCTCCAGGCACGGATCTGGGTCTTTGCATTGACTCTACATGTAATCACACAAAGCTCTGTTATATCTGCTAATGCTAAACACAACCAGCTCACCAGGTTATCACTATCATTAATAAACATCTTTAAAATACATATCATAAACATGCCCAAGTATTAAATAATGTTTTGACGATATATTTAGTTTTTAGTGAGTATTTATCAATATCTTTGCCATTTAAAACCTTTTGATGCCACTGATACAATGATGCTATAAATGCATATTGAAATATCCTCAAATAATGTTAGCTTGCTGAACTCTGCTGCCTTTGTTCTGTACTATACTGCACACATGATATTATTAAAGAACAGTTTAATATATTAGATTATATAAAAACTGGATCCTCTTCAGGTCAGGTTACAGCAGAAACTCTTACTTTGTGTCTGAGGGTCCAGGTTCATTACTGAAGCATAGAGGGTCATCTTTAGACCGGTCACTCTTCAGAGACAGACAGCTGGGGACTGAAGAGGTGTCCTCTTCGTCATCTTTAAAACCACTCATCTTCTCCAGTCTGAGAGATAAACCAGTAACACACACACACACACACACACACACACACACACAAACACAAACCTTTTTATTACTGAAATGAAGAGCTTCATATATTTTATATAAATATTTTAATGAGGCCAATTGAGCAGATAGTATTACACTGGAAAACTAGAACAAACCTTTTTAGTGAAACAATAATGAAGATTGTTTAGAAAATTCAGCAGTTTTATTTAAAAACCATGAGTAGGACACGCCTTTTTGGTGCTGATTTTATATGAATATTTGAATGACATTTTAGCTGAAGCCACTCTCACAAGTGTAAAAATGTAAAAACACTTGTTTACTCCTGTTAGCCACAGATCAACACACACACACATGCTGTGTATCATCATATTATTTAATGTAATGTAATTTAATATAATGTCGGTCTGTTACCTGCTGGTATGTTAGGGTCAGATCTCTGATCACCACGTGTTCATTAGGAGGTGTCTCCCCCTGCTGGAAACACACAGGAACAACACGTGGTAAATACACACAATATGTTCTCAGTTAAAGGTGGGGTAGGTAAGTTTGAGAAACCGGCTCGAGATACACTTTTTGTTATATTACATGGAATGCTCTTAACACCCCGATAGCAATGAATATCTTAAGTGCTTTGACAAAAAATCCATTAAAAACTTTCATCTGTGGAAGCCGTAATACTGTAAAAAGCACGACCAATCATCTGAGCCGGCCCGGCTAAAATAACTGGATGGCCTACCTGCCTGTCAGCCTTCCATCTGTGCACAAACTTATCTCGTGCCCTCATTGGTCATGTGCACGTTCGTGTGTGTTGGAGGAGGGGCTCTGTAAGGAAGTGGCAGATTTTTTCCGGTTGTGTATTTTCCAGGGTTCTTACACCTTTTCCAAAGTCAAATTCAAGCACTTTTCAAGCATTTTCAATGTGCATTTTCAAGCTTTTCAAGCATCTTACAGCTGTTGTAAATTACATATTTATATACACATACTTATACTCAAATGATTATTTCCCTACCTCACATTAAATCAGATGTTCTTTATGCTATAAACAACCAAATGTGTGTTTCATAATAGCATTCTACATGAGGATGAAAAATATAAAATGTTAGAAAAGAAAACTAAGTTTAATATTTCAAAATGAGACCCATCTGTACGTAGACTGGGCATCCCATATAACCTGGCTGAGCCAATATAAAACAATCAGCCAAATAACTTTTCAATATATTATTGATTACTATTTTTGAGGTACTTTTAGGTTGGCAGTAAACACAAGTCAGAGGTAGATGGTGTACTTTGACTCCACTACATGTATTTAATACCTTTAGTTACTTCACAGATCTGGATGAATGATGTGAAATATAATCAAGTGTTAAATCAGACTTTACAGATGGAGCCTCTTATTTTGGACCCCAGCATACAGCTTCCTGCCGACTGCCAGCCAGTTGCCAGTCAGTTGCCTGCCAAAGACCAGTATTCAGGAATGTTAGGCCCTCCCACTATTCTCCAATTTCAGGGTTTAACCAGGAGATGGCGCTATATATTAAATAACTAAGACTTAGTTTTTCACAATAGAAAATGCAGATATTATATAAAAAACTAAAGTTAAAATCTTGTTTTTAATGCCCCAAGAGCAATAACATCTTGTCACAAGCTTTTTGGAAGAAAAAGACTGACCCAAGAGACCTGTAGTTGACTAATTACAGGCCTCAATAAAGTTCTGCCATTGGTTGTGAAAAACAACGGTGGACATAGTGGAAAGTGAAATTGACATTGTCGAATTTAATAAAAATACAAAATAATGTATCTGTGTACGTGTTTTACTATGTGATCTGCACTTATCAAACATCTAATTAAGGCGAGACACCCCAGGTGAATAGGGTATTTTTAACTTAAAGATATCAGCTAAATATTTCTCCAGTTAATTACTTACAATAAGGCAATTGTTTTTTGTATTACAAGTTTTCTGAAATAGCATGTTTAAATATCCAAATGAACCATTATCTCATGAAATATGCGCATATTTTAACACATTTCAGGAACCGAAATCTGAACTTTGGATAAAGCCAGGATCAAAATTATTGTTTCATTTTGTAGTCATATTAGTATCTAAGGCTTTTACAGAAGGGATTTTGGATATCTCTTTTTATCACTCCATAAATCAGAAAATACTGTCAACAGCCCTAAAATATCAATTTTCACCATGTTTTTAGGTATACAATGTTATATAATTCAGGCTATGAATTATATATGACCAAACCCTTCTGTAAAAGCCTTCATAATATTGATAGGAATATAACTGGAAGGTTTGGTGTATGTAACTGCTGAGTGATTCTACAATTTAGGGTACATTCCATGTCCATTGATGTCCATTGATGATAATTATAATTATTCTAACTATTTTCTTCAAAAATATCATATTTTGCCTATTATTGGAAAGCATGTTATAATATCACACAAACATTATGTGCATCCTATGCTTTATTTAGCTTGAAATGTGTCATGATGTTCTTAAATTGTCAGTTTTTGCTATGTCCGTTTTTCAGTTGAGGGTGTCTTGGATTCAAAATAATGAATAAAAACCATTAAAGTAAATTTAAAAAATGATTCATTTATTTCAAAAGTCTAAATACTAAAGAATAATAACATATTTTTAATTGATTTCCCCCTTTAAATAATTTAAATATCTTAATATATGAATGTCCGCAAAAGTTCTGTCAACTATGTTACTAACAGAACTTCCCCCTTTAACTCAAAAATTGTTTGTCCCAATACCATGTCACCAGCATCACATGATGCCATGTT